AGTTTCCTACAAAGGTCTACATCATTAAGCCCACGTAAAATTTTAGAGTTTAACCTATTTTATTAAATTATATGATGAACCATAATATTGTGTCATTACTCAAACCAAATTAACCTAACATGATTTTGATAAAATAAAAAAACTAAATAATGTAAATTCACATTTTAATTATCCATGAAAATCTAATATTGCGAAACAAACAATTGAAAATATCAAAGAACTCGCCACATGCATCAGCCCCCGATGTTACCTCCATAACCAGGCATCATCGAAGTCACGTTCGTTTACTACTTTGAAATTTGAAGACAAATTTCCCATTGGCATAGGAGAAGAAAATTGTACGGCAAACAGAAAAGAAGGAAAGTATGTAGTGGGATACCAAAATGGTACATTCGAGGCAGATAACTTTGAAATAGAGACAGTGCTTTTGCCTCGAAAACTTTTTTTTACTCCTAAAGTTTTGGTGCTAATTAGAGGGAATTAATCTAGATATATATAAAGGCAGGAATTAATTTAAATATATATAAAGGCAGCAAACTATGTATCATCACATGCAAAAGGTAAATAGAATAGGATTGATGCCATGCCCCTAATACATAACTTTACAGGGAAATATTTTTGTGTAGCGTAGTAATGGCTTCCCATTATAGGTTTTGTTGTAGTGCTTATTCTACAAGTTGAGCTAAACACGAGGTCATTTGTTACGTTTTTGTTGTTGGGTGATGGAGCTAAACATCCACTCATTGGTTATGTTTTCGTGTTGGGTCGTCGAAAATTCATGTTTAGCCAAGGTTGGTATGCTGGATCATCCAATAAACACAACAGGTTTGGTGTTACTGATACAAAGGTCCCAACAGCCTCCTAATTTTAGAGTGCACTGGTGTTTGCTCCCCACCCTTTATTTCAAATTGCTTGTTTGCAGCAAATGCGAACAACCACAAGCCAAAGGTGGCTTCAATGGTCAGAGGGGTGTGTAGTCATGGTCCTGCTGATTCCAGTGTGGTCAGTTGGTCAGATGTGACATTCTAATCTTTGCGGTGCTGCTTAACTTAACCCAAAATTTTAAAATAAAGTTGGTTTTGCGTCCTGATTCCTGTTCAGTTTTGTAGTACATTCTGGGGTTGTACTGTGGATCCAGACCAAGAGTCAACCCCCTTAAACAGGGAAGAAATCTACGAGTACGTACGTTTGGATCTTCTTGATGCTGCAGCAGGCAGTACTATAAATTTTGTTTTCAACTACAGCTGGAGCTCCAACCAATGCCCTTTAGATGGGTTGGGCTTGGACCACCTATCGCCACCCATTTTCTGAAACGGAATAAAGAGAGAGATTTTTATAAAACAAAAGGAAGAAGACTAATAATGAGGATGAAAGAAAGAATTAAGTGCACCCCCCCAACATGATGCCTTTTTCGGGCATACATATGGGTTAGGGTTTTTTTTTTTTTGTTTTGGGTTTGGTTTTGTGAAACGGGTCTTGGCCATTTTAAAAGCACCAACATCCTCCACTTGCAAAATGCATGCCTCTCCCACTACATTTCATATTCCTTTTTCTTCTTTGAATTTCTTCTGGTCACTCTCTTGGGTGCGTTTTAGCCTTTTTGACCACCAAAAAGGAGATGAATTAATGACCGACTATTATTACCCTAGAAAAAGAAAATGGCTACTTCTCAAAATTCGAATTTTCACTTCTTTTGACATCCAAGGCAAAGGCATCCCACTACCTTTACAGCAAAGTAAAGCCAGTTTCTTAAACATAAACCAAAATTTTATGGTAGTTTGGTTATTCATCCCATCCACATACCTAATTTTGTTTTTAGTAGTTCTTTGTTAAGACTACTACTTGTCCCCTACAAGATGTAAAGTTCAAATTAGCATTTTCATACTTGGATCTATAAGCAATGGAACCTTCAGAATTATGCCATTCCTAAACCCACATTGTAAGCAAAATAAAATAACTAAATTGGACACATAATCCCAGAAAAATACCGGAAATTGAATTTTAATTTACCCAAATTAAGGCGAACATTGCTCTATAGTACAAAAAAAGCAAAAAGTTTTGAAGGATTAAAAAACAAAAAGCCCCTTGATTTCTCCGGTTTACCCCTCTATACAATCAGGGGACACAGGGAAAGTAAGAACTCCGCCGTTTCAACGACGACAGTAAAGGTTTTTTTTTTCGTTAATTTAAAATTTCCACCAAAACTGGCCTCGTTTTTTCCATTTCCACTTTTTCATTCTCTTTAATAGCCTTAAAAAACTGATATATTACCATGGGCGTTAACATCGCCGTTACGTGTTTAGCTCTCGGCGATGATGTCGTCGTTCCCATCAACGGGTCCGTTTCCCTCGCCACCGTCACCTTCTTCATCCAGCCACCGCTCTACCGGCGCGCACTCGGCTTTATGGCGCAGCTTCCAATCAAGAGCCTGGCAAGCGCGTGAGCAGTAATTCACAGCCCCACAAACCGAACACCTGCGAAACTCGTGCTTTCTTGTCTCCGGCCTTCCGCAACCCACGTGCGAGCATAGCCTCAATCCTGGGCCGGGCATCCCGCCCCGAGCCGAGAACCACTCCGCTAAGAACCTGCTAGCCGGATGCGCCTCCGGCGCGGGCACATTGCATCCGAAATCGCTCAGCAACGGGCATCCTGGGACGGTCGGATGACGGTGGTTTGGGTGCGGGATCGGGTGTGGGCTCCATGTGAGCCAAGAGCGAGTAGGGATGTTAGAAGCAGCAGTTGATGATAAAACCGCTGCGAGCTCTCGGGCGTTGGCTTGGACGAGGAATCGACGACCTTCGGCGATGTTCTGTCGGACGCCATAGCCGTCCTGAAGACAGTGACCGAGCTCACGCAGGGCATCGATGTGGCCCAGAAAAGCAGCTCGCGCGCACAAAGCCACACCGGCTCTGAGGTCCTTGTCGTTTTTTGTGCCGCCGCTGCCGTTGAACTGAATCACAGCTAAGGAGTAAAGCGCCGGCGCGTGGGAGCTAATCGCCGCCTTAGCCATTAGAGAGGCTCCACTCCCACGATTTTGTAAACAGTAGAAACGAATCTGTTCCAAATCATACAACAGTTAACCCGTTAGACTAAACTTATCAAGAAGTAAAAAAAAAAAATTTGGAGTTCTTAATAAAGTAATAATATCAGTTATTAAAATAAAATTAATATCTTTATCCTGAGTTTACTCACCATGCCGAGAGTGTAACAAGCTTCAACATTTCCGGCATCAGCGCAAGACTTCAAGAACCTGTGAGCTGAATCAGACCAGTTTTTGGCTTGAATGGCAAACATTTTTGGAGAGGCCTTGGATAACACCATAGAATGGAGTGCTAACCTGTTTAATCTCTTGCATCTGTTCCACAAAAAATCAATTAAAAAATTGTTAGAAAAAAAAATCCAAACTTTTACTCTGAAGCAACGAAAAGTCCAGTAAAAACGTCGACGTACGAAATCAAGACGTTGACGAAATCGGAAGGGCAACGGGCGGTGGAGCTCAGTTTGCACAGTATGGAAATGACAAGATCATCGGGTAAAGCATCGAATAAATCACTCTTTCCAGCGATCTCAGGCGAGAATCTTTGCCTTTTCCGGCATGCCATATTATCCCCGGCGAAATCTCTCCTTTTAACTACCAGCTTCTCTACAAAAACATCGGCTCTAGGGTAACAAAGGCCTCTCCTTGTTCTCATTTCTATTTCTCTCTATATCCCTATCTAATCTACCTATCTGAATTAGCGTCCGTTCTTTCTCTCTCTTGCTTTCTCTGTCTTTCCTAGCGGCTCAAGAGATAAAGAGAGGAAATAGAAAATAAAAGAAAAAAAAAGCAAACCCAGACCTTATATAAAAGAGGGAAAGCACAAAAAAAAGTCCTTTAAAAGGAAGAGAGAGCAAAACAACAACAACAACGACAGAACCGAGTGAATTAATAATAAATAAATAATTTAAAACAGAGCAGTAAAAAAACCTCCTGGCCTGGGGAGGACAGAGTTCGGTAAGCTTAATTACATTCTTAACCTTATGGTCAAACGACGTTGACCCAGATCCCGACGTTGGTCGTCGGTTATAACACTGAGAAAATAAGGGCAAAGAAATCAATCTGTTGTTGCATGAACAAGAGCGAAGGTAAGAAGAAAGGCTTTACCCTTCCATTCCACCTCTTCTTAATTATGTGTTTGTTGGGTGAAGGTGAGGGTGAGGGGTGTGTCTTCTCTCTCTCTCTCTCTCCAAACAATGCTTTTGTGTGGGTTTGTTTTGCAAGCGGTTAAATTTGTTGAAAGCCAAACAACTAACTTCGGTTATTTTTCTGTAATTCAGTTTTACCCAAGGTTACAAAAATCAACGTAACTCCGGCGCGTGAACACCGCCGACCGTTTTGGGCTCTTGTTTCGGGAGTGATGTACACGCTCCTTGCTTGCGAGTGTGGAAAATGACTTCTCCTTAACAAACTCAGGTTAGCGAATTCTGGGCACTCGTCCGACGACTATAAACAACAAGGAGGTCAAACGTATGAATCAGCAGGAACAAAAGAAGGTTCAGTCACTCTTCTTTGTTTTACTTGCCCTTTTATTCTCTTCTTTTTCGTTTTTGCCCTTCTATTAATTAAAAAAACAAAAATAAAATCCCAGTCTATCTAATTTTGAAATTAATTACAATTTTTTATTACTAAAGTAAAAAGAGGTATCAAAATTTGGTAAATAGAATACAATCTTATAATTAATACATTACTTTTTCTTTTTCGATCCGAGAATTAATGTTTCAACGGTCAGAATAAAAGCTTCCTATCATCTTGTCAGGAAATAAATTCAAACATAATATGATAAATTTTTGTTAGTGCAATATATGTAATTTATAATGCCTCCAACACAATTCGTGGCCTTGGAATAATTGAATGGTGCTGGATCCAAATAATAAATATTGTTGTGGATTCTCTGTCTATTAAAGAGGGACGTCCTTCTTATTTCCAAATTAAAAAGAAAGGATAGATATTTCCAAATAAAAAGAAAGGATTGATGGTGTTCAAAAAATAGAGAATGCCAAGGTTTTGTGTCCTTAGGAGAAAGTTGACGGAATGAAAATTGAAATCTTTTGTTAATATTCTCTCATTACTATTATATAATCAATTAATAATCTCTTAAACAATTGAAAATTCAGGATATAATACTTACAAAAGTTCTTAAAAAATTCAAAAAATTTTAAATAATTTTTTACTTTTTTATTATATTCTATCAAATTTTTATATTTTTATTTTAAATTAAATAAATTTTTATAATTAATAACTATTTCATTATTATTAATTAAAATATCACTTGTTATTCTATATCATGTAGTGTTGATGTGGCAAGCTGATATATTATACTCAACAATGATGTAACATTTTTTGCCATTCACTTCAATTTTATGTTAACATCACGTAGATATAAAATGATAAATAATATTTTAACTAATAATAATTAATTAATTATTAATAATAAAATTTTATTTGATTCAAAATAAAAATTCAACAATTTAATTGAACACAATAAAAAAATAAGAGGTTAATTGAATTTTCTTTAATAAAATTTTTTTCAAATATTATATCAAAATTCAACTTGAAGATGATACTAAAACATATTTCTTTGAAAATAAACCATTTAAGACGAAATTTGCTTGCTTATACAAATAATTTTTTTTTAATTTTATAAATAAATATTATGGATTATAAAATAATCAAGTCACAAGTCGTTAAAATATAGTATAAAAGGTAATAAAATTTTAAACATTCATTGACATGACATCATCTCATAATTTTTTTAAAAAAATTGAAAGAAAGGTGATTCGAATCTTCTTTTTTAAGAAAAAATCAAGCAACAATTAATAACCAACTATTCAGATTCGATAATATTTTATAATTATTTAAAAAGACGTAATTGGTGGTATATAGGTGATATATGCTCGCCTACACAAAATCAACATTCATATTACCTCACTCATCTTAACAAAAAAAATGATTAAATGCTTAAATTAAAATTAAACGTTTGGATTTTTTTTAATTAAAGATTAAACGTTTCAATTGTAACAATTAAAGACTAATTATTTTTTATTTTTTATAATTAATGATTAAATTGACAAGTAAACAGAACTTGTATCACACACAATAAAAAATTGTGTTGAAAATATAATTATTACATGCCATTTTGAAAAATATAATTATTACACGTCATGTTAAAAATTTAGTTATTACACACCATTTTAAAGATTTAATTGTTACACGTCATGTTGAAAAATGAAATTCTTACACGTCATATAGAAAATTTAATTATTACACATTATAATGAAAAAATTGTTATACGTTACGTCATAATTTTGAACTGTTTTGACTTAATAAAAAAACTTTCTGACAAAACTACCTTTTCATATCTTAACCTTCCAAATCAATGTCTACATCATGCGTGTATCCTATATGCACCAAACACTTCTCACCCTAGCCTTTAATTATAAGAAATTGAAAATATTTAGCCTTTGATTCTTATAATTGAAACATTTCACCCTAAATTAACAAAAACCCCAAAATTTTGATCCCAAATCAAGACATATAGTAAAAAATAAATATAGTCAACTTAAAATGTAAATAAGTAAAACTTTTGCAAAGAGAATCAAACTTAGATAACTAACCTTTACAACCAAAAGATTTTTCAATTTAGCCTAATTTAGAACATAAAATAATTTATTATTAAGTAGTGTCAATTCCTTACGCAAATTGTGGAATCAAGTTGCTTGTTAGATTTATTATTAATTGCTTGAAAATGCTTCATGAATCTATTACTCTGATTTTTATTAATCAAAAGCTGGGTATGATCAATTGGTTTTGCATTAATTAAAAGTCTTTTACCTTGCTAAATAATTTACACCTCCATGAATTATGCTGGCTAAATATTGTAATATTTGTTAGAGACTTCAAAAATAAAGAATACGACTATATTGTTTATACTTAATGTAAATTCTAAGTTTGGGAATTAATTTCCTCTTTTAATTTTGATTTAATTGTATAATTTAATTTGTTTATAGATCTTCTGAAAAATGTCGACAACTGAAAATGTTGAGATTGAGATTGTTGATCAAAATTAGAAGAATACAACCACTACATATTCAGTGAATGTATGGACAAGTTATGGACACACACCTATGCATGCTCGTAGTGTGCCTTCTAGTCCACTTCCAAATACGCCTACTTCAACTACACCTCCAATAGGTGACTCAAGTAAGAAACATTCTCACAAATTAACTAGGGAGGTTCAAATCATTTAAAAAAAAATGTAAATAGAGAATATTCGATAATTTGCAATTATTGCTAAGCTGTTCTTATGGCCAATAATGAGAATAGAACAACATCTATAAATAATCACATGGTTTCTTATTCACACAAAAAAAAAATATCAAGCATGCTTTGAAAGGCAAAGGCAAATTAGTGTGGAGGAGAAGAGTGAGGGGAAGTACCCGTTTGAAATTTCACATTTGATCAAGACATTCGAAGAAATCAATTAGCTTTTTTTACTTTGTAGGATTGCATGAGTATCTGATTTCTATGGTTGATCGTGTTGGTTTTAGGAGGTTTGTTATTAGTCTTCAATCCCTTTTAAAGATGGTTTCTCGCAAGGTGATTAAAAAGAACATCCTCAAGATTTATGTTAGAGAAGTTAAAAAGTTGAATAGCAATTTAGCAAATATGTGAACTTGAAAACAAAAGAAAGGGTGTGTATATCCATCAATGCTCATTTTAGTAGTAACTCTTGGTTGTTACATAGTTGTGTCTTAAAGTAAACATTTTTTTTTTCTTTAGAATGTGGTACACAATTCATTAATATTTTTATGAACAAATTATTAGCAAATCAACTCATGTTATTTTTTAAACATGTAAGTTTATTTATGTGCTTACACCTCACACCATGAATATCCAAGAACTGATAACTGCCTTGACTCAAAGGAATATAAAGATCAAAGTTTCTCTGAACACTGAATAATTTCAGCTCTAATAATGGGATGATTTTTATCATAGTGAATAAATTGTATTCTAAACTTTTACTTATTGGAAAAATTCTTACATGAGATGTTTTGCACATATTTTAAATCTTGTCGTGAATGATGAATTATTAATAATAGACAATACAATTAAAAATATTTGTGATAGTGTAGCATTTTTTTCATTACAAAAAATAAGGGTTTTACCAATGAAACATTCCATCAGTAAAGCATTACAATTTGTCAGTATTCTAATTTACTGACGGAGTTGATCAATCGGTATTCTTCGCGTCTTTCATTTTTAATGTGCATCAAAGAATTATCAACTGATTACTAATAGAATAAGTTCTGTCAATATTCTGTCGATGATTCGTGAAAAATTTAGAAACAATTTTGTCAGTAAAAGTTATCTTAATTGTAAAATTACTGATGCTTCAAATTGCTATTGGGTACAAAGACCCTTTTCCTAGATTGAAACTTAGGATAAATATTATACTTATGTGCCTAGTGAGAAAGATTGGGAGATCGCAGAAAATTAGAAATATTTTATATGGTAGCAAATTTATTTTTAAGACAAAGTATCTTACTGTAAATTGTAATTTTGTCTAAATTTGTGGGCTTCAAAATATAATAGTGAAGTGAATGTGCTCAGATAATATTTGTAATTAGTGCAATGACAATGATAAATATTTCATAAGTTTGAGAAATATTGAAAGGTTATGCAAACCACATTTTTGTTGTTATTATAATTTAAGACATTTAGTTTACGAATTGGAATAATTATTTAGTCAAAATAGAATAAAGTGTGAATAGAATGAATAGCTATGATGTACTTGGATTCATGAAATGAATTTATCATTTTGAAATTATTTCATCATTGAGTTAATAAAAATAG